GATACAGATACAGATACAGATACAGATACAGATACAGATATAGATATAGATATAGATATAGATATAGATATAGATATAGATATAGATATAGATATAGATATATCAGAAGTTCTCTTGATACAATTAAATTGGGGTGGGAGCTGCATTTTAGTGCTCTGTTTGGTAAGGGGTTACCAACCATACAGTCGGGAACGACTAGCACATATGTGCGAGGGGAACCTTTACTTTTACCTTTACCTTGGTAAGGGGAATGGCTGCATGGGAGAAGGTCACAGAAATAAGGCTAGGTTGCTGGCAATATCCTCAAAAGCTAGCCAGATTGACCCTGTGTTTGCCATCATCTAATGATTGAGTGTTTGTGTTGCTGGTCACCATGGCAACTATTTTGTGAGTGTGCCCATATCATGCTCTCTAAATTTCAAATGTACCTATTAGCACATAAATGCTAGCACAATAATTGGGCAAATACATTCTGTGGAGAGATTTCACATATGTTGCCAAAAGCTGAGAAATCAAGCAACATTCCTACAAAGCAGACCCATTACCTGCAATATGGATTCCACATGTGGAAATCACTTGTTCAGGTGAAATGCCATAACTCACAATCTTGATGTAATCTCAAAGTTATTCCCACTCCCTTTGCCTTTTCTACCATAGATTTAGCTGCGGATATTAAAAATAGGGGAATGGCTGCGGATTTAGAAGGAGGAAATCACTACAGATGTTGTAGCTATTCTTGGAATCCACCTCTCCTATTTGGGGGGGGGCTGCAGCTTCCCGAATTCTGAGCCAGAATAATTTATCTCGTGCATGATAAACCTTAATATTATTATTTCCTTTTGGTTTAATGTGCTGCATTTTTCCTCTGTTCAATTATGTTCTATTCTGGGAGACTGCCTGGAGTTTTCTTGGCAAGAATTTTCAGAAATTGTTTTGTGTATTGCCTGCTTCCTAGGGCTGAGAGAGAGTGACTGGCCCAAGATCATCCAATTGATATTGTGCTTAAGGCAGAACTGGAACTTAGAGTCCCCTGGTTTCTACCCCAGGGGTTTAAGCACTACAACAAGAAACTTTCAAGTGTGCTGTTGAAACTTTCAAGTGTGCTGTTGACCCAACTAATTGTAGCTAACTTTAAGAAGCTATAGGTTAGCATCAGAGGTGGGTTCCTGTCCAGTTTGCACCAGTTCAATGGAACCAGTAGTGGAAATAGCAACTGGGTCTCCAAACCGGTAGGGACGGCATGCTCGGCATGCCCCCAAACCGGATCCCCAGTTGCCGCGACATCTTTTTTTGACCTTTTTAAATGTTCTGAGCATGCACAGACCTATTTATAGGCAACCGAACCAGCAGTAATGCTGTCAGAAAGCCACTCCTGGTTAGCATCCTTTGGCGGTGTATACAAAGGCATGGGTCAGATGGAGCCTTGAAGCTCCACAAATATTGGCTATTAATTTACTCCTCAGGAGGCATCTACTGTACAAGCTCTATCAATATGCAGTATGATTTTAGTGCTGATGTTAAAATTATGCCCATCCTAATATTCAGCCTATGAATATGGTTCTATCCTGGAAAATGGATGGGAAATTAGATCCATCCATCCTTTCATTAGCACCCCCATTTCCTTTTCTCATTCAAATTTACACCATTTATTTTATAGAGACACTTGGCTTAGGCCTACTTCAAGCCCATTTTTAATTGCATTATTTTATAAGGTTGGCAAGTTAATTGCTCTACAGTATTAGAGAGGAGGATATTAAACAGTGGGATCCAAGCCCTGAATTTCTGAATTAGGAAATTAAAGAAAATGTATTTAAAAAGACTGCTTATTCTCTGACAAGTGCTGGTTTGTGTTATTGTTTTATTTAAATGTGTGATATCACCACAAAACATCCGCATTGAGATATTGTACTATGTAAATGCATTTAATTAATTCCTTTCTGAAACAAGTAAGTGATAGAAACTTATTTGACTGAAAGTTATTATTTGTTCTATTTAAATTTTCATATTTATGGTATTTAAAGGTCTTTCGAATGTATAGTTTGCCGGTAGTAGTCTTACTCAAACTGTGGAATTTCTTTCCTAAGGAAGCTCCACTGGTCTCCTTTGAAGCTTTCTGCAAATTAGTAATATTTTTACCTTAAGTTTGTTCTCAATCTATTTTCTACTTCATTGGTTTTACTATTTTAATAGATATTTAACCTCATCACTCTAAGTTGTGTATGCGTTAGAAAGGTGGGCAGACATTCTTCTCTGAAGCGGAGTATCTTTGAACATCTGCATAGTTAGTATCAATCTGGGTTATTTTGAAGTGTCCTTCAAAGATTTGTTACATATCTAAAACCTAAGGGTCTTCTTCAATTAAGCAATAGCAGAAGTGTGATAATGTGATAATGACTCTGACTATAAAATGAAGATTGAAGTAGGCCCACGACTAGTTTAATTATGTCACAGATCTATTTTCCAAATGGCACTCAAGTGAATAAATGACATTGAATATTAAAAAATAGACAGAAGTTTTGCACTTCACCTTAAAAGCTACTTTATAGCCTTAATGTTGAAGACATTAGTGAGGAAAAAACAATAAGGTTTCAAGTTTTAATGTTCCAATTACATTTGGTGAATATTAAATCTGACTCCAGAATTTTGGAGGTATGTGCTAATGTTCTTGAACAATACATGAGGTTCTCATTACCCACATTTTATAGTTGGAAGAAATATGGCTACTAGAAGAGACATGGGAACATTGGCTAAGACCTTGTGTGATCTCCAGATCTCTTCTTTGCAACTCCAGAGCCAACTGTGACCATCTTTGCAAAACAAATGGGAAATATTGCTCCATTATTATGACATGAGGAACACAGAAAAACATCAGAAAATTAAATAATGTATGAGTAAATATATAATAATTTGAAATAAAAAGAATTTCCTTATTAAACTATGTGATGCAGTGTTTTAGATCAGGGGTTTCCAAACTTGGCAATTTTAAGATTGGTGGACTTGCCATTGCTGGCTTAGGAATTCTGAGAGTTGAAGTTCACAAGTCTTAAAATTGCCAAGTTTTAAATGATAAACTATTAGATGACACCCCTGTTTTAGATGATATACTGTTTAAAAAAATAGCAGGAGTTTCAAACTGGGTATTCTGATTAGGCAGCTCTGGCATTATTGATTTATCTTTCTAACTTTCTAACTAATTAATGATTCTAAGGCTGAGCTCCACTCTGATTGAAACCATCAGCACAACTCATTTAAAGGCTGTAGTGCAGGGGTGTCAAACTCAAGGCCCCGGGGCCAGATCCAGCCCATGGGATGTTTAGATCTGGCCCACTGGGCTGCCCTGGAAACAGCAAAGGATCAGACTGTGATGCCTCTGCCAGTGAAAATGGAGCTCAGGAGGGCCACACACAGCCCTCCCAAGCCCCATTTTCGGCCATGACAACCTCCTGCAGTCCTTTGCCAGCACAAAAGGAGCTCTGTTTTTGCTGGCAGAGAGCTGCAGGAGGCTGTCACAGCCAAAAACTGAGCATGGGGGGGCATGCGCAATCCACCCGAGCTCCATTTTTACTAGCAGAGGGCTAAAGGAGACTATCACAGCTAAAAACAGAGCTCAGGAGCCCATTTTCACTGGCAGAAGGCCATCATAGGCGCCCCTGACAGGAGTGACATCAAGGTGGCCACACCCACCCTGGCCACGCTCACCCCAGCCCCCAAGGTGAAACACAATCCTGTTGTGGCCCTCAATGAAATCAAGTTTTGACACCCGTGCTGTAGTATAATAGAGTATATATGTTGTTGGAGCAACCACAGGAAGACCCAGTTTCGAATTCATCCTCAAACCTGGGAGCTACTTCAGTTCCTTTAAACCAGTCAAATAGGAGGAAGGAATGCTATACATGCCATCATGAGCTGTTGCATGAAAAGTGGGATATAAATCTAATTCCCTAAGGACCGATAAATGATTCTCATCCATTTACATGGCTTGAGAGGACAAGGCTGCCTGAAATCCAAGGAACTAAGCTGTACAAATTCTTCCCGGTTTTGTTTTGTTCTTAAAATGTTTGGCATTTCTCCTCAGCTGCATCACCCTTCCCAGGGGTTTCGCTTTGGAACTGTGAAAGAAAGCAGCGCTGAAGATTATTTCAAGCAAAGCTTCCCAGATATGCATGAATACATGAAACGGTTCAATGTACCTGCAACTCCTGATGGAGTGGAATACTTGAAGTAAGTCGGTTTCCTGGGTTAGAGATAAATCAACAAAGGGCTGCCAAGGGAGAAGCCCTGGATTCCCTTTGGGCTGACATTCCAGTTTAATGGAGATAGTCTGTCATGCCATAGCTTTCCAGCTATCGCTGAACTGCAGCTTCAAGCAGCCCATGAAGGAATGGCTAATGGAAAGGATGCTGAGAGTTTGGTTCAAAAAAATCTGCAACCCACAAATTTGCCTATCTCAGATTTAGTTGTGTAGGTGCATCACCCTAGTACATATGATTAACATGCCCATAAAGGCCAATGAGAGCAGGAAGGTAGCCAATGAATAGAAAGATGGTCCCTCTATGTTTCTGAGTGCACAGAAACATATTGTAACTTCTCCAAAGACCAGTCAATAACAACTGGAATTCAGAGATGTCCACAGAAGCTGATGCTTTGCTCAAAATGAACACTGGAGCATTGTACCACCACAATTTGTCATTTTTTATTTATTTATAAAAATAAATAAATTTATAATAATAAATTTATAATAAATAAATAAATAAAATGGGTGGCATACAAGACAAACAAACAAATAATAAATAAATAGATAGATAGATAGATAGATAGATAGATAGATAGATAGATAGATAGATAGATAGATAGATAGATAGATAGATAAATAAATAAACAAACTTATTAACCGCCCATTTTACCATAGGGTAACCCAAGCAGCTTACTGTTAAATGTACAGTTAAAACATAAAAAAACTAAAATTGGACATGGATAGGGCGGAAACGGAGTGCGGGTGGTGGAATCTGTTATTAATCAACTACCTTCAGAGGTGGTATTCAGCAGGTTCTGACCAGTTCTGGAGAATCTGTAGTGGAAATTTTGAGTAGTTCGGAGAACCAGTAAATACCACCTCTGACTGGCCCCATCCTCATCTATTCTCTGCCTCCCAGCTGATCGGGAGGAAATGGGGATTTTGCAGTAACCTTCCCTTGGATTGGGGAGGGAATGAAGATTTTACAGTATCTTTCCCTTGCCATGCCCACCAAGCCACGCCCACCAAGCCATGCCACACCCATCAAGTCAGGCCACAGAACCAGTAGTAAAAAAAAATTGAATCTCACCACTGACTACGTCCATTGTACCATTCCCCCTCTGGCCCCAATCCGACTGAAAGAGCCATGACTTTAGGCCTTTACAAAAAGATAGGACAATTGGGACCAACCTCACATCCAAAGGCAAGATGTTCCAGGAGCCACAGCAGAGAAGGCCATTATCCTGCGCTAATCATACTGATTGGGCCTGCAGCATGTCTCCTCTGCCAGCACAAGTGGTTCGGGCCAATCCAAGTGGGGTGAGACGGTCTCTCAAGTAACCTGCTCCCTGCTTCTTTAATATGTGTTTGTAATGTCACAACTCACAACAACAAAAAGGATTAGAGGTTCCATTGCAATGGCACAGTGTTTTTTTAACCATCTACTTATGTTTGATGCCCCCTATGGATGCCTCTCATTACATATGCCAATATTTTTTAAAAAAAAATGTAATCATGAAAGACAGAACTTTATACTGGAGCTGGTCCTACTAGTGAGGTGGTCACTTCAGCTGGATCTGAGAATGTTCAACAAACTAGAAAGTTCCCAAATGATCCCTTTAGCTGGAAGAACGGGGCTTAGAATAACAAGTTCTGTTTGATATAATAGAGTACAAAGTGCCACAAAAAAGTTTCAATTTCACCTATATATTAATGGGATCAGAGCTGGCAGTGAGTGATCAGGAAAGAGATCTTGGAATCATAGTGGACAATTTCAATCCAGTGTGTGGCTGCTATCCAAAAGGAAAAATCCCTGTTTGGAATGATTAGGAAAAGAACTGCAAATAAAACAGCCAATATAGGAACGGTTTCACACATCAAAAGCCCAGCCAGGGGCTCTGTGTGGGTTGCAAGTAGATGTTAAAACAGAATAAACAAGCAAAGTTGACTGAAAGTCACCTGACCTAAAACCTCAGAGAAGACTTTGCAGTCCATCCCGGATCCTTTGAAGCTCCATAGGTTTTGCAGATCAATTTACTGTTGTTCAAAAATTACCAGATAAGGTTTGATTTTTTTTAAAAAATGCATTAGTTTTTTAAAAAAAATCTAATTGCTGCTTTTAAAATAATGTTTCTAGCAAAAATATATCCATTAGCTTTTAAAAGGCTTATATGTTTCATTTCACCAAGTTTTTTTAAAAAAGATACCGTAAATTGGTTGACAGACTATGACACCAGCATCAGATTACATATGTTTTATTGGCTCATAGATGAATTTTTGCTTTGATTTTTATTGGGATTAAGGAAAATAGATCTAGAATTTCCATCTGGAAACACTTGTAGAAATGGATAAAACTTAATCACTGCTTGTTTGTTGTACTTTGTTGACTATTTTCCTTTTCAGGCAGGATCCAGAGAAATTAGATGCCTTCATCATGGACAAAGCCCTTCTAGATTATGAAGTATCCATTGATGCAGACTGTAAACTTTTGACAGTGGGAAAACCATTTGCAATTGAAGGTAAGAAACAACTTTCTGAAACTGTGTTTTATATGACCATTTTATTTGTTGTTTTCTACATATCCTTTATAGCAGTGGGGAGATGCCCAAGCACTGAAAACCTTGGAAGGAGTCCAAATTGTAGTTGTTAGTGTCACAGAATGTCAAAGAATAAAAATCCCAGGGAATAATCATATAAATTGCATTTAATTAATACTATATAATGTTGTTTATACTAGAAAGTACATACCGTAATTGAATTCTAATTCTAAATTAAAATCAAATTAAATCTTACTTTTTGATGTTCACTATTTAAGACTCCCTCCTTGGTTCAAAGCAAAACAAAACACACAAGTTGTTTATCCTTTTTTTACATCTAACAGGCCCACAAAGCATCTTGCTATATTTAAATGCAAAGAATATCTTTAATGAACGAAAAAAATTGACCAGAGTAGGAAAAAGCCATCCACGAAGAAGGCAAAGCTTCCTTTTATCACGTTGTAGTTTCTTCTGCTTCAGTAGAATAACAAGGTAGGAAAGAAGCATTAAAGAAGCAGTGAGGTTCAGTGGTTTGCATAATGAATAGTTGCCACTAGGAAGGAAGGAAGGAAGGAAGGAAGGAAGGAAGGAAGGAAGGCAAGCCTAAGAGTACTTTTGTAGTTGCCAAACTGGAGACAAGCAAAGTACAATGTCATGACTTATCTTCCAGTTCTTATTTCTGGCAAATACGGACTTTTAACTTTCTACAGTATGACTGGTTCCACTCTGTAAAACACTTAGCTAGTTCAAATAGACAACCCTTAAAATGAACCAACCCAGCTGGTTAAATGTGATTTCTTGCATATCCAAACACACGACACCACTTAATATAAAACAATGTCATATTTCCCAGATGCAGAACATGGTACAGAAATTGCTGGCCTCTTGCTCTTTTCCAGTTCTGTGCAAGGACTTAGTGGACTCCACTAATAGTCATGAATTGGCAAGTGATTATACAAGCAATTAGAAATCCCCATTGGCAAAATTGCAGAGGTCTTTGGGAGTTATTCACTTAATAGGCATTTTCTTTTTAACTGGTGTAAACCTGAGGCTCTCTTTATCGGATGAAAAATTTAATAATACTAACAATAATAGGTGCCTTGGGTGCAATGCCATAACTACTGGAGCATCTTCCTCTTGACCCATTCACTCTTCCTTTATATATTTCTTTTCTGATTCATGCCTCGTATATTCTGAAGGTATCATCAAATCACCTCAATATGTACCTTTTACTTTTGTATTTAGTCCACATTTCTTCCATATCCATTCATCCTTCATCCCACATCTTCTTGTTTTATTGCACACACTTCTTTTATAACCAATCTCCATTTCAACTGATTTTTATATTTTTTATGTCACAGCGAATTCACAATAGGCAAAAGCATGCCCTTACACACATTGCTTCAATTAAATTCTCTGTTTTGCAATGCAAATAATTCAAACCAGCCACACAGCAATATCTCTATGCCAAAGTGTATGCACATCCATATTCTCAATGCAATAATAATAGCAATGTGATCCCAAGCATTCCATTCCATTCATTCATTCACTCATTAATCCATTCACTTATTCATTCATTTGTTCATTCATTCTTGCTTATACATCACATCAAAAAAGCCAATTTAAGTAGCTCTCCATAAATACAGTGCATGAAACAATTGATGGACTTCTTGTTAGCCCTCATGAATTTGCCATTCAGCATTCAATAATTCACTAAGCATTACATCTCTTCTTTTATATCCATCATATATCACACTAATTTCCCACAAAATGCTGTGCATTTTCCCTGAGTTTTTATATTTTAATAATTTTTCTATCTTTGTCTACTTTCTTTGCAACTCTTTTTTGCTGTCTCTGAATATGTTATACAATATGTTTCCCTCATCTTTATATTTTGCAACAATTGTTCTCTTGTGTGGATTCTTTTGTCTCGTACAATCTCTTTCACATCATTCTTTCACCAAGCTTCTTTTTCATTCTTAACAAAACCACACATATTTCTGTGGAATTTGGTAACACAATTCTTTTCATAGAATCATAAAGTTAGAGATCTCAGAAACCATTTAATGCAACGCCTTATTCACTGCAGGCTAGAACGTCTCTTACAAATGACTATCCAACTTCTGTGTAAGGACCATCATCAAAGAATGATTTATCAGTTCATGTGACAACTTGTTCCACTCAGAAAGTTTCTCTTGGTGTCTAGCCTGAATCCATCTCCTTATAGTTTTACTGCATTAGTTCTACTCTCAGGAGCTACAGAATACATTTTTTTGATCTCCTTTTTCCCAAATAGCTTCTGTGTCTACTTTCCACTCATTCTGTTGGGAGAATAATCTCGATCATTTCCTTCTCATTTCTTTCTTTTATTTCCATCTCCATCCCCCTCTCCCAAGATGCACTCTTAATGCTAGTGAACAATGGTCTGTCCTATGTTCAGAAGCTCTCATCACCTTTGAATCCTTCACTAGTTCTGACTTTCGTCACAAATAATCAAATCAAGCATGGTTTTTGATTCATTCTTTTCCCATTTGTAATTATGAAAAGACTTATGCTAAAATTACATATTAGAACTAGGCTCCCCCCCCCAAATAGATACTCCCCAAGCTATCACCATTCTAATTTATTCTTAAGTGTCCAAACCATTAAGTATCTTTTTTGGGGGGCTCCCTCATCTCATTATCATCCATCTATTCATCTCCCTCACAAAATTGCCGCAGAACACATTCATTCAGAATGTTGCAGTTTTTTCCCATTATTACTATTCATTGGAGCATACATGTGACTATCGTCAACCTATAATAGCAATAGTACTTATACTTATATACTGCTTCATAGTGCTTTACAGCTCTCTCTAAATGATTTACACAATCAGCATATTGCTCCCAACAATCTGGGTCCTCATTTTACTGACTTCAGAAGGATGACTGGGTCAACGTTGAGCTAGTTAGGATCAAACTGCTGGCACTCAGCAGAGTTAATCTGGAATATTGCATTCTAAGCACTGCACCATCATGGCTCTTTTCAATCTTCATATGCATTCACAGCTATCTGGATGACATCACCCTAATCTTTTTAACATATATATTTAACCCTTTCATCACAATCTCCATGTTCATTTCCGTGCATATATTTATCAGCTGAGTTCCATAAAAATCACACCCGCTTCATTGAAATATCATGCATCCCTCCTCTTTCTCTTTATTTTGCTCACACACAGAGGGTTTCAGTTTATTCATTCTTGCTTCTGATCTTTTACTCCTTTTTGCATTCCATCTTCCATATACAATGTCATTACCAGATGGGTCAGTGGATATTAATCTCCCTTCCCCATATTTATTATGTGAGCATGATGATGTAAAATTCTCAAAATGGATCGCAACAAGTAAGCAGAAAAACCTTTGGGAAGAAAAAGAGCATAAAATCATACAATCAAAAGCAGCCTTAGCAATGCAAAACTTCCATTAATCTCATAGCCAAAAATACTGATTTTTGCATTAACAGAAGGATAGAATCAAAATCATATGAAATTTTAGTACCACTTGATAAAGTCTTGGCAAGACCACACTTGGAATATTGCATCCTGTTTGGGTCACCACAATATAAAAAAAGATATCAAGGCTCTAAGAAAGAGTGCAGAGAAGAACAACAAAGATGATTAGGGGACTGGAGGCTAAAACATACGAAGAAGGGTTGCAGGAATTGCATATGTCTAATTTAATGAAAAGAAGGACTAGGGGAGACATGATAGCAATGTTCCAATATCTCAGAGGCTGCCACAAAGAAGAGGGAGTCAAACTATTCTCCAAAGCACCTGAGGGCAGAATAAGAAGCAATGGTTAGAAAAGAATCAAGGAGAGAACCAACCTAGAACTAAGAAGAAATTTCCTGACAGTTAGAACAATTAATCACTGGTACGAATTGCCTCCAGAAGTTGTGGAGGCAGTTCCAACATTGGATCCTGCCTTACAAAATTTATGTTTATGTTTTAGGTTTTATTAGGATTTGTATGCCGCCCACTCCCTAGGGACTCAGGGCGGCTTACAGGGGAAAAAAAAGGGGGGGGACATATAAAAATTAAAAGAACAAACATTAAAATTCCACAACATACATGCAGCTTGGAGTGGGGCTCCCACCAGTTCATTATACCAACCCCTATTCTCTCTAGGTGGGATATACTTAAAAGGTAACAAGGCAAATGTGAAAAAACTTTTAATCCATAATCCTGTATTATTTTCTAGGGGATGTATGAGAAGATGTCCAGTTCTTTGCTAGCTAGTAAAACATCAAGCAAGTCAAAGTGGGTTTACGGTGCCACAAGAAGCCTGTAGGTCAAGTATGGACTCATATGTAAGCCTCTCTGGCTGTGAGCTTCTGCTGTTTGTGCGTAATTTGTACATCAGCTAATAGTGTCATTGACAGCAGAACTTTCACCATCCACAGAGAAGGCAAAATTCTCACTTCCGCAAAGATTGCTGTTGCTATGAGCCAAAGTAGAAGCTAATTTCTTACTATTCAGTGAGCTAAAGGAGCAAGCATCGAATAGGAGTTATGATGCATATTTTAATGATCATCTGCCAAAACTACAATTTTAGATATTCTTGTTTGGCAATTATGGTCAAGAATCAACTAATGAGAAAAATACTGTTGTTGTTCTTTTGCTAGGGTATGGTATTGGCCTTCCTCCAAACTCTCCACTGACCTCAAATATTTCTGAACTCATCAGCCAGTATAAGTCCCATGGCTTCATGGATGTCTTACATGACAAGTGGTACAAAGTGGTACCATGCGGAAAAAGAAGCTTTGCTGTGACGGAGGTAAGAAATGTTCCTTAGGTCCTTCCAGCAGTTGGAATGGATAAATCCATCCCTTTGAGTCTCTCATTTCTTTTAACTGTGTATTTATTTCAATCTCCTCCCATCCAAGTTTTCTGGTTGGTCATTGTTATTAAAGTATGCATAAAAGTCTATGTACATTTTCACATACCTTTATCCTAATGCATATCTCTGTTCTTGGTTATATACATTTGCTCAAATCCTTTCCTCTGGTAGAATTCATTTCTATGTTGCATTCAGCTACCTAAAAAGTTGGCATCCCTTAGTCCTAGCAGACACTTTTTTCTGGGTTTTGTGTGTGAATGTGTGTGCAAGCGCACACACGAGCATGTATTCTTTGTTTAACTAGAACACTGGATTATAAAATTTGACCATATAAACATATGAAAGCCAGTTGCACTTCAAGTTGCATGTTTGAGCACATGTAAATTACGATACAGTAGATTGTAAACAGACATCTTTTCCTCACAGGTCAATCTTCGTTTCATCCATTTGCGGGAGGGGAGAGAGAGAGGAAGAGGGAGAGAGAGAGGGAGTTTCATGAGCAGAGCCATTGCATCAGAACCTTATACCATGTATAGTTTTAATAGCATGAACATTTCTTATACATTCAAACAGCAGTCTTGAAGGACCAGGAGTAGCTAGGGCAGAGGAAATGATCCAAAGCTTTTTTGTCAAAGCTTTCATTGTGAAAAGCTTTTTTCCCCCCAACACCAATACAGCATCCAGGTAATGATTTCTAATGAAAGAGAAGAGGGTAAAACAGCTTCTTGCCCTGCTCTTAATGCCCTGATTCCTGCTTATGTGTCTGTTAATTCATACCTGCAATTAACAGCCCATCCATTTCAGTTACAAGTGCTTGCTACCCTGGTTACTATGGGAGGCCACATGCTAAAATGAATGAACCTGAGTTCATTATGCACAGCAAAATGTAGGGCATATCTCCTTAACTGGCATTATTAACACACACAACACACAAACCCAGCAAAGTGGAAAAGAAGCAATTGGGAAACTGATTCTCTCTCCTAATAATAACCTACCTGATAAGCTCACCGTTATAGTATTATGATTATTTAGAAACCTCTATCTCTGGATGCTGCTATTCAGAGAGGGTTATTTATACATCCAGCTCTCAGTCAAGAAATATGCATACTGTGGACCCATCCATAGAAACATAAGTGGGTCAAAATTGTTTTGGAAATAACAGCATGACTTTAATATTGATTTTAATGTGCATATTGAAAGGAAGTAGCGTTTTAGGTTCTCCAGCAAAAATGTGGCCCAAAATGTACTGTTCTTTGAGAAATGACAGTTTTTAATGTAGCACTCCTGTCCTCAGCAAATTTTGATCTGTGAACTCCTTGGTACTGTTGGAATTTTATTCCTTACAAAGTTCATTCTGACCTGGGATTCAAGAGATAGTCCAGCAGTTTCATGAAATTAAGTTATTTAATCTTCACTCAAGTGCAATGATAACAAGCTATGAGGAGCGTGGCCAAAAAACTCCCTCTTTCCAGCACATTTCATAATTATTTATCTAAAGGAAACCTTATCTTACTTCCATGGGTAAGCTGCTTGCATGGCCTGTGAAAGCTAAAAAGTGAGAAGGCCAACAAAATCTTAAAGAAAACATGATGAAAAACAGTTTCAAAATGAGATTTGGTTTCCGTCTTAATAAAAGTGTAAATGCTCAAATACTAGATTCTATAAAATATCCTAAACAGTACTTGATATTTGGAAACAGTGTTGTCCTGGATAACATTCTGTTAAAAAGATTGGTAAGCAATTCTTGTCTTTTATAGATACCTGTTTACAGGAATAACTCTTATTTTGCCAGAAAAACATTGGCTTGAGAAGTATGTAATTTCTCTTCAGTTCCCTCTCTCCTATAACAAGCAGCTTGAAGACTGAAAACAGGCAGCCTATTAATCTTTTTAAAAGGAAAAGAAAACACTCTTTTTGCTAACACTGCAACAAAGATAGGAAAAGTGTTTCTTTAGAAGCTGGCCTCTGTCAGAATTGCCTTAAAAGCAAACTCAGGATGCAGCATTTAGTAGTTCAGCCCTACTGGAAGAGAGATATCAAGTAGAGCATTGAAGGATTACACAAATTGGTCATTGCTAGGGATGCTGAAGAGATGTATCCTTCCTTTTCCCTCTCATGCAATCCCATCATTTGAAAACTTTATTGTAAGACTTATTAAAAACTGCGATTTGGAAGTATACTTCTAATCAGCTCTAAGTATTTTTGAGACTTTTAGTTGATTAGCTTTAATCAGTTTGATGAGTAATGATTTATCACCAAGAGGATAAAATTAATAAGAAGTTAAACAATGATTATATTTGGATCACAGTGGAACGGTTTGAAATGGTTTGAGATCTTGAAATCAAGAAGATATGACTCAGGAGGCTTCAGACTCCTAATGTGTGATCAAGAGCTATTTCAAAAATTTAACTATTAGTTAAAGACACAGTTTGTTAGCTTGCCATTTAGCTCAGGGCTAGTACTCTCTCCACCCATTTCTCCCCATGACTGTGAGAGAAGAAAATCACCTTCTGAAGTCATCAAAGTTGCTTCTGTGAATTTATCTGAATGATTTTATCCAAAGTCCTATAATGCAGTTTGGTTAGTTGGTTTGGTCTGCTCCCATGTTTGAAAAAAAAACACCACTTTTTCTCCACTGCCAAATGCTTCTTTTGTTAAATTCCTTGCATGGTAAAGAGACAATATTAAATAATTTTAAGTAAACATGTTGGAAAGTTTTGATGATCTACTACAGGTAAGGTCCTGTCATGACTCTGGGGCTGCTGAGGTTCAGTCAGCTGATTGAGATTATTTATCTGATCTAACAAGATATAAAAATTTTATCTTCATAACTTTAGGGGGGGAAATGTTATTTTTATATAAACCTGGGTATATGTTAAAATAATATAGGTGACTTTATTAATTGTGCAGTGCAATTGAGAATTCAAAACCTAAGTACGTTAAGAATAGAATAGAATTCTTTATTAGCCAAGTGTGATTGGAAACACAAAGAATTTGTTTTTGGTGCATATGCTCTCAGTGTACAGAAAAGATACATTTGTCACGAATCATAAGGTACAATGATAGTCATAGGATACAAATAAGCAATCAAATCATACTAGGAAACAATCAATATAAATCGTAAACCACAAAGTTACAATCATACAGTCATAAGTGGGAAGAGATGGGTGATAGGAACGATGAGAATATTAATAGTAATAGTAATGCAGACTTAGTAAATAGTTTGACAGTGTTGTGGGGATTAGTTGTTTAGCAGAGGAAAAAACTGTTCTTGTGTCTAGTTGTTCTGGTGTGCAGTGCTCTATAGCTTCGTTTTGAGGGTAGGACCCTCAAAACTTACCCAGCCATTTTTGTTTTGTTTATGGGGGCTTGTTTTGGTTTTTTAGGCAAAAGTAAAACTTTCATGCCACCTGAACAAATTTTAGGGGTTATGCTTTTGAGATGGGTGGGAGTATAGGATAAAAAACAAAGCAACTCCCCTTCAGAGTACTAATCCAATGCAAACAAATTGGAATTTCAATAGCAAATCACATTAATGAAAGTTGACAGTGTGATCAGAAGCAAACTCCAGGGACCCTATCTATTTGTCTACCTCTATATTGGATTTATAAGACAATTTAATCATCAAATGACTCCAGGCAGCATATAACAACATAACACAATAAGGAGAATCAAACAGCAAACAAACAGCCAGGGAATACCAAAAATTAAAACTGTCATGGCATAAGTGGGTTCATAAAACACCACAGTCTCTGTCTGGGGCCTGAAGGCAAAACCTATTGAAGGCAGAGTGGAATTGCACTCTGTGCTTGTGTGGTGAGTATCTGTGATTTCTCCAGATTGAAAGGATGTTTTTTTTTTTTTAAAGGATGTTCTTCCCTGCATACATTCTACAAAAGATCTGGGTGTTTGTGATAACATATACAAGATTTTTCCCCTACCTTAAAATCTTTTCTGATCAAAGTTTCTGGCTTGCATAGCAGGAGATGTCAACACAAGAGAAATGGTCTGGCATGGCCTTATCTATAAGTGAAATATTGTGCTGACCTTGCTAAACAATGAAATATCCATCTCCTGCTTTTCATCACTTTTTTGGCTCTCTCCATAACCAATATTTCAGCCTGCAGTACTTTGCACTTTATTCCCTGATGAATATCCCCTCTTTGCTTGCTTAAAGATTTTTCTTTGTTCTGTTTTTTTCCCCATAACCCAAACTTGCTTAACAAAACGTTCTGCTTTTATCTGCCAGAACAGCCTCTTCTAATCATGCATCAATGGCTTGATTGTCATGCAGTTCCACTGGGAAATAATAGACAACTTCCAGCTGCATAGAAACTTACAGAAAACTTGGAGAGATGTTCAAATCAAAGGAGGGAAATGGCAAGCGGGTAACGGGTTCTTCAGCAAACTATACTGGTATTGTTGTTCTGACCTAGCTTTCCCCAAACTATGAAGCAGACTCCTTGTCCTGACAAAAAATTCTTTTTATTAAGTTACTGTGAATTCCTCTCACTGACATCCAGCAAAGTATTTCAAGGGAGGATTTACAGTAAGGTGACCAGATCTTCAGATTGGTAAAGAGGGACACCTTTGACCGGGGGGGGGGGGGGGGCTTGATTAAAAATTTTATACGGAGCAACAAAAATTTTCATATAACGCAAAAATAGTATTGTAATTTTTTTTATTTCAACATAACTACAATTTACAAATATAAATTGTAACTCTTGCCAAACATCAAAATTTTGATCACGTGACCATGAGGATGCTGCAACGGTCGCTAAGTGTGAAAATGGTCGCTAAGTGTGAAAAATGGTCATCAGTCACTTTTTTCAATGCCATTGTAACTTTGGTCACTATACCACCTTTCTTGCCACAGTTCTTAAGTGAATAACTGCAGCTGGTATTTTGTATTTTGGATAGAATCTTTTTTTAAATAG